ATTATATGTAATATTTAAGTGCTTTACTTGATAAAATAGGATGTAGTAATCACGCCGAAATTGCCTTATGTTATTTATTGACTTAGCGATGTATGCTATGAGATCTTCAGTATGAACAACATTTTTAATGGCTTCTCTTTCAATTTTTATTCGAGTGACAGTATTATTCAATAGGCAGCGATGGTATTTACATAGCAGTAGCCGTTGTTTACTAGAATTATGCGCTTTGATACATTATGTAAATAGAAGATAGCTAATGCACTGTAACTTATAATATACTATTTTCTTCACTTTTTTATTACTATTATAGGATAAACTATTGCAAATCATTAAAATGCAGTATTACACTATGACAAACGAAAGTAATTATCCATAAAACTCTGCTAAATATATTAACTATATTTCTAAAACTTGGTTTAAAAGATAATAAAGTTTTGCACCTAGTTTTTTCTCAGTATTAAATTAAGTCATTCGACAGTAGCCACAGCATTACTACATCTACCCTAAATAATATCTGACCATATTATACTCATTGTTATTGATATAATACGAAGCTGCGTAGCAGAGACTGATATAACTAATCAGCTAACCTTCTTTACTGTGTTACAAGCAAGTTTATGTATTTTTAACAAACTAGTAATTTTTAGTTTGCTAACCCCCTTGTAGTCTAAATTAAATAACGGACGCAGAGAAAGTTAAATTTTTAATCCGTTTAATGGGGTGGCTTTTAAGTATTAACAAACTCCGTCACCATGTTGATTAATATAACATTGTTGAATAGCCATTAATGTTTTTATCTAGTCTTAAATCAATAATTTCCACAACAATCACTTCTTGGTATACATCAATTTCGTAATTTTATGGGGTGGATACATATTGAACTTTGGGCACATTCCTCGGTAGCCAATGATGCAAAAAGGTGATAACTTTAAGTTTATTACGTTTTTAGCGGCAATTGTAGCTCACTCACTTGTCATTTCATGCTATGAAAATAAATCGATTTATGTCCTTTTGATAAATTAGTAATGGCTGCAACACCTAACCTTGATATTTTTCTACATTAATTGAACAAAAGTTGAAAATATTCTGTAGCTGATTCTTCATGATGACATCACTCAGATTAATATTTACATAATATGAGATCCGAAGTACTCAATATTAGTATTTACAATCTAAATTTAAGCGTAGTACGATTGTTTATAAAAACAATCAAGGTCAATTAATTCTGATAATAATATTATACTGAACCGATTAACAGTTACCGTCTCATAAATAGGTCATAACAGGTATACAAAATCATCTAAAATTGATTAAAATAACACGCGCTGTACACTGCTTAAAAGCATGCTCATCTGGGTTAGAGATAAATGACCAGGTCAATAAATCATCGGCAATATTGGTTTAATTTTACCAACCTAAATGAATTAATAATTCATTCTTTCATCATCTCAGTAACCTATAAATTGGAGATCATTATAGCTGAGTTTATCACTTCTTCGTTAGGATAGAGAATTATATATCTGGTAAGAATCTTTCGTTGTTATAACATTTTTATTACCTGGGGTACGGTAAGCACTGGGCATGAAATTTATTCCTTCACATGTTCTATTTCTTAGTATGGGATACAGATAGTTGGATATTACTCGTAAATATAAATTACCAGTAGTCAATAGAGAATCTTTTTGGGTTATAGTAAACTAATAATACTTTAAAGAATGCCTCACCTAATTTGTTGTCATCGTTGATTGAAAAGTAGAGTAATTAAATCATGTATAGTTTTCTGTGAAAAGTAATTGTATATTATGACTTACGCATTTAGCTATTGCAAGATTTAAACGAACGCTATTAGTGTACCAGTTCCACGAAATAATTATTTTTATCTGTGCTTATACATGCGAACATCAATAATTATAAAATTTCTTTCGATAATATTTTTAAGCTACTGTACGATTATTATCACTATTTGATCTAACTAGACCATAGATGAACTTGGTTATATTAGCATAAGCTCAAACAAAAATCCATTTTAAAATTTTTTTCCTAAAGATATCATGAAGATTTTGGTTATTGTCGCTCTTTTCGCTTGCGCTACCGCATTCAGGCGTAAGTAAAAACTATAGCTTGTAATATTTTTCAAAGCCTTGACCTCTATAGTAAAATTTGGAATTAAATAATTGCCGTACACTTATTTCAGTACCAGAACAGCACGGTAATGTAAAATTTATTTGACAATAGAATAGCTAAAAGACATGAAATACTGTATAATCATGAAGTCAAATCTATATATTTTCATTTAGTTTTCAGGTACGCTACAGTAAATATAGATACTGTACATCTTTTGTAATACTACTTTTTCTTATTTTTTATTCATTTTCCCTTTCATATGGAATAATCCAGTTCCACCTGCTTTTAAGCAAGTACCACGTAAGATCAATTATTTTCGTGCCTGTTATTATTATTTTTTATGAGCTACTTTTAAGGAACAGCCCTAATTGGAAGTAAAAAATTAATTTATTTGATATGCAAAGGCCCAGCTGATTGGCGCCCACAACCAAAATGGGAAGTTGACGATGACAAGATCGTCGGTGGAGTAACAGCTAAACAAAATGAGTTCCCATTCATCGTTTCCTTGAGAAGGAAGTCTTGGTGGCTCGGCAGCACTGCTTCTCACTTCTGTGGTGGTTCCATCATTGGAACTAACAAAGTTCTCACTGCTGCTCACTGTACTTCCGGTACCTCTGCTTCTGATATTACCGTTGCTGCTGGTCAATTTGACAAAAGCAGTGATACTGACGACAATGAACAAATTCGAACTGCTTCGAGGAAGTAAGTTTCGATTTTATCTTCAAGAAATTATTCCAAACCAAGAATTTTATTATGAATCTATAACAGTTAACGTTACATTAGTACTCATCTAATGCACTGTGGCTTATGCAATCATACATAATTTAATTAAAATAGTACTTAAATTATAGCCTATATCAGTGTCAAAGTAGAAAACGACTAAATTTATTTTGGATTGCAGCATAACATTTTCATTTAATTTCTTTAATATAGATTTTGACATTGACATCAGAGATTTCATAACTGTACATTTTATATTACAGATCTGAGCATCCCGGCTATAACTCTCAAACAATTGACATGGATTTCGCGGTCTTGACAATGTCTAGCTCGTTTACATTTAACACAAATGTTGCTAAAATTACAATGGGAGGAGCTCAACCTGGTCAAATGCTTACTGTTTCTGGTTGGGGTACTCTTTCCGCAGGTGGTTCCTCCCCTAACAATCTTCAAAGAGTAGATGTCCCTGCTATCACAAATACTGAATGTAATGCTGCCTATAAGGGCGGAATCACCGATAACATGCTATGCGCTGGTTACAGTGCTGGTGGTAAAGATTCTTGTCAAGGTGACAGTGGTGGCCCATTGGTCCGTTTTGATGGTACAATTCCAACCCTTGTCGGTGTTGTTAGCTGGGGCAATGGTATGTCCTATCACAACTGTTTTAATAACTACTGATATTATCAATCTTACTATAATATTCTAATTAACAACCGAATAGGTTACATTCATATTTATAACTTCTCTACCATATAAAGTATCGATTCTAATTCAGATTAAATAATGTGATACAACTTGTAATTAATATAGGCTGTGCTGAA